GAACTAGTCGGGTGACTGGAGTTATTATCTAGTCGGTTACGAAGTGGGGGCCGCGACCGCGACTCTCTCTCTGCAGAGTGAACATCCCATCGCGAGCTGGGCATTCTGCCATCTTGGTACAACGGCGGTGGAGCTCGGTTGAGGGGTCCCCGTCAGACATAGCGTTCTGCCCGCACCAGGTCACGCTCCCGTGGTCGCGAGGCTGATCATCGCGGGCAGTTTCTAACTGTAGTATCTTTTGAGCTTCTCAGTGTTCCATGGTCGAGCAATTTCCTCCCCGTGTAAGTTTTCGAGGTAGTAGGCCCCGTGTTTCGTCTTATCCCAGACACAGTAAGGGCCCTCACAATTCGTAGCGAGCTTGCCCTCCCGCGAGTCCTTCTGGTTTCTTTGCAAGACCAGGTCGCCGACCTGGAACTCAAGTTTTATGACTTTGCTGTCATAGAGAAAGACAATTTTTTGCTTTAGTGCGGCTTCGTGGAGAGCTTCCCGTGAACAGATCTCTTTGACTAGGTCGAACTCGTCTTTGAGGGCCTCGTCGTTGACCTCCTCCTCGAGAGGAGACTCAGTTCTTCTGGACGACTCCCTTATTTCTACCGAGATCACCGCTTCGGTCCCGTAGGTTAGTCGGAAAGGGGTCTCCCCTGTGGTCGAGTGGGGCGTCGTTCTGTAAGTCCATAGTACGCCGTGGAGATCCTCGACCCATCTCTTATTGCATATTTAATACTTTTATTCGCTATTAAGAAATTATTGCATATTTAATAATTTCTAATTAAGAAAAATAAACATATTTTAAATGATAATTAAATTATAATTGTGAAAGAATAGAGAAATTAAATCTTTTAAATGCATGTTTATGATAGAATGATATTCAATGCATGAATGATTTGAAATGATATTTTTTTTACTTTATTTTTTTTTGTTTTTGTGACTGATTTTAAAATATAAAAAATTGACTGCAATGATTGTAACTAGAAATTAATGATAATTTTTTGCTACAATTTATTAAATGTTTTTTATTGTTGATCAAATATGAAAAAATACATGATTATTATTGTTTAAATATTAAAAAATATATTAATTATATAGAAAAATATATTAAAGATAAGTTAATTTCAAACTAAAATTGTCAGTAGAGTTCTGCTCCACTGACAACTAATAATTGGTAATTTAGTAATGATAAAGTCATGTGGATAAACAAAAAAAACTATGTTGGTCATTTTCCCTATTGTTACATTAACTTTAACTACTTATTAGGTATGTAACTAATGTTCTTGCATAATTTATTTTCTCACCATAGTAGTACATTTGATTATATTATCACCAATAATCCCTGCATGAACACTGCCCTTCCTTAAAGCAATGAAACCGGCGAGTATCTCTAACAGTGATTTCCCTACCGAAAATGACTGATATAAGTTTGATAGCATTATGGCAATCACAACAGATTCTTAGGTTTTTCACAACAAGTATTAGGGCACCTTCTTCAGTGGAGATCAGACCAAAAGCAATTACCAACTTCTCACTGTGATGCCATAACCTTCTTTCTTTCTCTTCTGATTCTACCTCTTCATCTTTCACCAATGCCAATCTTATATCTGCTACATACCCTGCTTGCTTCAATTTCCTTAATAACTCCCCCATGTACTTGTGAATCTCTTTTATCCTTGGATGTGAAGTATCTTCAGCTACAAAGACATGCACCTTCTTATCTATCTCGATCCAACTACAACCTGGTTTCTTCTTCACTCCTCTTTCATGCATCAGCCGTTTCAATCTTGCTGCCTCTTCCCATCTACCGTCACTTGCATACATATTTGAAAGCATTACATACGGAGCTGCAACTGCTTTCATTGCTAGCTTCACATTTCCGTGCTTCCTACATGCACCAAGCAAAGTAGCCCATTCAATAGAACCAGGATTAAATGGCATTGTCTCTCATGCATGAGTAATGAGCTTGCCATATTCAAGACATTTTGACAGCATAACCACCATTCAATAGAACCAGGATTAAATGGCGTTGTCTCGATAATCCTCTCAGCCTCCTTGAGTTTCGTTGCCCTACCCAAAAGATCTATCATGCATGAGTAATGTTCTGCTTCTGGTTCAATCCCAAACTTTTCTTTCATCATATTAAAATACTTATCACCCTCCTCGACAATTCCCGTGTGTACACATGCAGAAAGAATAGATATGAAGGTTATGTTAAGGGATCAATATGTAACCTTCATATCTATTCTTTCTACATGTGTACACGCGAGAATTGTCGAGGAGGGTGATAAGTATTTTAATATGATGAAAGAAAAGTTTGGGATTGAACCAGAAGCAGAACATTACTCATGCATGATAGATCTTTTGGGTAGGGCAGCGAAACTCAAGGAGGCTGAGAGGATTATCGAGACAACGCCATTTAATCCTGGTTCTATTGAATGGTGGTTATGCTGTCAAAATGTCTTGAATATGGCAAGCTCATAACTGTTGTGATTTAAGCTTGTGTGTGAACTAGTTTTGCTGTTGGTATATTGAACTCATGTGCTTTGCTGCCAAAGTCATTTTTGAAAGATGAGTTTATTAACTCTTGATTGCTGGTTGTTTAACTTGTTTGCTCTTGTTAGAGTTGGTTGTGATTTATTTTGATAATATTTAGAGCCCTCATCTAAATTTCTTTTGAATTAGTGTGTGAGTTTTGGCATTATGACAACAAGGTGGTACTGTCATGAGATAGGGGTTTTGATTGGTGTCATCAGGTCTACAAGAGGTTTGGTCAACCTATGATGGCAGGTCTTAGACAGCTTAGGAAAGGCTGGTTTGTGGCAGTTAGCAGAATCCTTCGAAGTTGCTTTGCTGATGTGATAAGACAAGAATGATACTGTTACCATAAGTCTGTTGGAATTCATGACAAATTGGATTGTCATTTGTGGTTGACATAGTGTGCATAGATCTGTCAAGGGCTTTAGGACCTTAAAACTGCTGTTGGAGTTTGTGTTGGATCTGTCAAGGGCATGTTGATATTTAGAGTTGCTTGACTCTTTGCTTAAATGTACATTTGTTTGACTTGGCATTGTGATGACAAATGTGTTATTGTATAATTCTAAGTTGGTTCTTTGCTTGATTAGTGAGTTATAACTTCATGTATGCATTGAACAGATTGTTGAATGAATTGGACATTGTCATGTTTTAAGTTATAACTTTGTTGTTGAAACTGTCTTGAGTTTGAGCTGTTCAATTGGTGTCTACTTACTTTGAGATATTAACTATCCTTAAAGCAATACTTTAGACTGATGTTTTCATTCTTGATAACAAAACTGTTTGTTGTTCCTGTTTTCAAACAAAAGTTTCTAATCGTGTTGTGTGAATTTGTTGTTGAAGTTGCTGTTTGGTTTGTATGGTTATTATTGCACCAAGATTGTAGCATCCTATTGCTTACTGTCATTAGGCTTTGGGACTGTCATTTGAGTCTTTTGATTAAAGACTGCTGTTAGAGGATGGATCCATCACCTCTATTGATAATGCCTAGGGTTATTGACCCTTCATGTGGTTTGCATTTAGCCTTGAGTGTGATATCAGATTATTGTTTTTTAGTGTTGGTTTAGCATCTCCAGGCCGCTTGAGTTTCAGTTGATTGATTTAAGTAGGATTGTGACTTGGTGCAGTATAGGTTTCTATTGTATGCTTGAGACCTGAGTTTGTCAACTTAGGTGGAGTTGCCATCAGATTGTTAGGTGTTTAGGTTTTACTATTGTTTTCTACATGAGGGCCTTGGTTTGGAGCAGAGTTGGAGGGCTGAGCAAAGGCCATCTTGGGAGTTTAAGGCTACTGCTATTTAGATCATTTAGGACTACCATGATAATTCTTGACAGCTTAGGATCTTAACTTAGTGGATACATTGGGTGGGTGTTGATACCTACTGATCAGTCTTTTGGTTAGGGTCATATTCTCATTAGACTTGCCCTCAATCTTTTAATTTTAGAATTGCCATCTGTTTTTGTTGAGGTAGTTTAGATTATAAGTTTCGATATTTTGTGAGGTTGTGAAAGCCAATTATAACAGTTTTGATGCACTGTCATGCCAATTGTCCAAACTTCATTTTCCTTTGTTGTTTTAGGTTTCTTTTTAGCTACTATAATTTGTGTGTGTGATGCTCTTAACCTGTTACAATTTGAGTTGATCCATGGGGCTGTTGGACTCATACCTTGGACTGATCTCCACTGAAGAAGTTGGCAATTGTGTTTGGTCTGATCTCCACTGAAGAAGGTGCCCCAATACTTGTTGTGAAAAACCTAAGAATCTGCGGTGATTGCCACAATGCTATCAAACATATATCAGTCATTTCTGGTAGGGAAATCACTGTTAGAGATACTCATTTGTTTCATTGCTTTAAGGAAGGGCAGTGTTCACGCAGGGATTATTGGTGATAATATAATCAAATGTACTACTATGGTGAGAAAATAAATTATGCAAGAACATTAGTTACATACTGTTGCGGTGGAAATAAGATCACAAACTATTAATGAGTTTGAATCGCAATTCAATTCACAACCGCTCTTTGATTTATCCGAAGGAAAAGGTCAAAAGAGGGAAAACCTATTTTTGCATCGTAAACACAATGCGGGGAAAGATCTAGGGTTCGGGGGTTGGTTAAATTTAGGGAAGGTATTAGCACCCTAAACTTCTGTAGTACTCTACAGGAACCTTTTGTTCAAATGTTTACTATTTTGCTTTATTTATTTGCTTAAGGTATATGTACAAAAGATTAAAAGTGAGAAAAGAGACCTAAGGGGTTAATTCTAAGTTTACTCGGCAAGACATCGCATCTTGTGCCTACGTATCCTTACGGGAATGGAATCAGAGTAATCGTAGTTCCCCGCAAAAGGGAGGTTAGGGACTTCTTGACTGTGGTCAAGGTCTCAAGGGGAATAAACGCATCTTAAAGACACGCTTACGTGGAGTGTAGAAACTCCAAATCTCTACGTTGAATTGTTAAGTTGTAATTAGGGTTAAATTAGGTTAGGGATTCCACGGCGGGAAACCCTAAAATGAGCGCGGCGGCTCTTTGACCTAATGCTAGGGGTAAAATTGTAATCTTGCCTGCGGCGAGGCATTTGGGAGAATTAGGGTTTGTAAGGTGAAAGGGTTTGAAGTTGAGGACTATTGGCGCGGCGGCCAAACGGTTAGACCTAATTCCTTCGGAGGTGCGTGCAATGTGACAAAAATATTGCAATACATCAGCAGAAATTTAAAGCGTACATCCGCAGAAATTTAAATGCAAAAAGTAAACGCGATTATTAGGTTCGCGAGATTACAATTGAGAAACAGATACAAATATAAAAAAAACTTGAATAAAAACTCAACACAATAAGTATGAACTGCAAAAAAAATGAACACCCGTTAGTAGGCAGAGTTAGGCAACAATGAATTACGAGGATATGCAAATTGAGATTTATTGTTGTTTTATTTGAAAATCTTAAATAATTTTAATGTTAGCTTGCTAAAAAAAAAGTTTAATTTAAAATGCTTTACTCTAAAAATTTTATTATTATTATTTTTTATATTTTTTTAAGAAAAGTTTTTTTTTCTTGCTTTTTTATTAAAAAGAGTTTTTTATTTTTTAATATGTACATAAAATATTTTTTCTTATTTATTTTTTAAAAAGACAATTTTGAATTATAAAATAACTATTAAGAAACAAATTTAAAAAACATAAAAAATAACAAAATAAAATAAATAAGTAAAGAAAAAATAAATAAAGGGGAGGGGATTTGATCTGTTGGGGACCAGAGTGTGTGCGTGACTACCGTGTGTGCATTATCCAAGTACAAGCAAATGAAAATTAAAACAAATAAAAGAAAGAAAGGGAGAGAGGTGACGGGACTAAATCCCTAATCCCCCAATCTCGTATCTTCTTCCTCCTCTTCGTCCTGATCACGGCTTCTCCATTTTTATCTTCAACCTCCTTTCGTTTGAAACCTGCAATCAAAGAGAAACAACATGCAACAACATTCGGAAGAAAATTATACCCACAAACACGAGCCGGCGGCGACTGGAGTGGTACAACGGCGAGGTGAAGATGATCTTTGGTCTGAGCTTCGCGGCGTCTGTTCTTCTTTCGATTGTGATGATGACTTCTTTGCGGCGGTGACCGTTTCCTCCGTGTCTCTGAATGTGCGAAGCTTCGTTTCTGTCTCGCCTTTCGTACGTGGTCGCTAGGGTTCTCCCTCTTAGTCTTTTCCAAAGGTGAACTCGTTCCTCTTTATACCTTTTTCTCTGATTTTGGGCTTGGATATTGGATACACGTTATTTTTACTGAAACGATTTGATTTGATTTTATGGAACTTTGGTGAACCGATGCTACTTTGATCTGATTGAGATTCTTATGTTTCGTTTGAAAACTTTCCCCATTTGGATTCACTTTGATTGGATTTGATTTACGATTCATCTCTGATATGTTCTGATTTCCTTTTTCAGATTTGATTTGGGACTCATTGCTGGTATGACTTATTTTGGTTCGAACTTTCCTATTTGGAGTGTATATTTCTGGTTTGCTTCAATTGGATATGCTTCGAATTGCTTTCAGAAACGGGCTTATTTTGATCTGTTTTGGAACCAAACTTATTTGTGATCTATTTGATTTTGCATATTTTGAATTGTTAAGCCCTCACAAGTAGAAGAGTTATTCTCTGTGGGTGTCTCATTCATTTTAGTCATGATCATAGACGCAGATGAGTTATTGCTAGGGGATGTGCTTATCTCTTCTGTTATTGAGATGCCTGTTATGGTTGTTTGTACGAGCTTACCTGTTGATATACTTTTGTCGCAGTTGCTTGCAAAAGCTGAGATGCCTGTGATTATTGCTCTAGACCAAACTGATTTTTCCTCTTCTTCTTTCAGGGCCCATCTCCAAGTTTGGAAACTGCCGATCTTTGTCGCTGCCG